CACTGCTGTGGCGTTATCTTTATAAGGATCCACGTCAATAACTCACAACAGTCAGTCGCCTTACATTTAGTCAGCTATTACATATGACTTTACTATTAAAACTTTCTTATTTTTCTTTCAACCGGTGTGGTCTTACAGTGGCAGGCGGTCCGCAAAAACTGAAGTCATAAGCCGCCAGCACAAGAATAAAAAAGGAGCAGAGAATTCTCCTTCAGAAGCTGATTGTCGCTCAATCGGATAAGAAATTCTACGTCATTCGTAAAGAAAGACATGTTCATTACCTATTCACAAGAGCACGCCACATGACCATACTCTGATCCAAAGAAATTCAGTGTACACTCTCACATGATGTTTATTTATGATACATTCCATCTAAGCCAAGGTTTAACAAACTGTTTCTTTCTTAGTATTTTATCAAAACAATTTATTTTACTGTATTTCTCACCTTCTCACATGTGCTACATTTCAAGCCATCTCATCCTTCAGGATTTTGTTAATCTAATAATATTTAGTGGAGAGTATAAATTAAGAACCTTGTAGTTGTGTATCTTTCTCCAGACTCCCGTTACTTTATCCTTTCTAGGATCAAACATTACCCGCAACGTCCTGGTTTCAAACCACCTTAAACTAAGTTATTTCCTTAGTGAAAGAATTTAATTTTAATACGAAACTTAAACCGTCCCACAGCATATGCACATTGCATTAACAAACAAATAATAAACGCATAACGAAAGCTTCTAAAGTGCACAACCGAACTTTTGTATGTTGGTTTCAATTTTGTGTTGTAGAATTAAACAGAACTGAATTCAACAAGATTAAGGTGGCATACAAAGTACATGAGGAAACTCGCTAGAATATGTAATTCTACTCACTTGTAAAACTAAATATATAGACCAAGGCGGCGATGTAAGTTTTTATTTGGTTATTTTAGTAAATTACCCTTGCCTTACTAATAATGTAGAGATCGTGTAAGGTGTTACAGCCATGCATGAAAAACGCAATTAGATGGGGTTAATATACAACGGAGACCAATTCATGAAGATTGTGTGTCTTGACCTCATACCGGCGTCCGTAGGGGGCTTGGTGTCTAATCAATCACAGTCCAAGAAAACATCTCAATCAGAAAGTCTGTCGTCAGAAGTCCAACAGCGTTGTTTCAAACAATAAAACTACACTTTTCATTATATAGGATTAATTACACGTCATCATGACACGTACAGAATAAACGAAACTTACATTACATGTAACCATATCTTCAAACTCTGAGATGTTTCTATAGGCATGCAATACTTCTGAATTAAAGAAATCGAGAAAGAGTCTCCCAAAAGACTTTTGAATCACAGTCACATTCTTACACACACACACACATTCTTTTAAACTGGCACACTGCAACTTTTAATCAATTTCAGCCATCTAGAAATAGTGTGCGTTAATAGAAACATTATATTATGAATTGCGTCGATCCAGGAATGAAGAATTTTAAAATAAAATGTTCAAATTATAGATGAATGCCAGGCAACAACAATATCGTAATATTCATATTTAGTTTCGGGGAAATTTTACTCCGCTACAGCTAATCCTTATTTGAGAAGCTGATAATCGCTCAGCTTTTTAAGAAATGCCACACCTTTTTTGGAACCAAAAGATTTGTAGTCATGTTTACAAGATCCCACCAAATATCCGTATGCTGAAACAGCTGAATAGATTATAAATCCTCACACACTGATTTCCAACGATGTTTTTTATTAATATTACGTACATTTTATAAAAAAATTCAAGACACGTAGGCATAAAATTGCCAAAATTTTACTGAATTTCCCGACTGTAAAAGCCATAGACATTTCGGAGACTAAGCTATTTTAAACAACACCTTGTCATACAAACAGTCGAAGTATGACGGCAGTATTTAGATCCGATTTTTTTTAGCTTTAAATTCAAATAACATCAGCGAACGAGTGTATGTCTGTATTGACAAAATAAAAGAATATCAGAAGCGAATTACAAATATTCTCAATCAAATAATTAAAAGTGCATATAATGATTTGGTAAACACCTGGACAGAATGCAGGACACAAAAATTTCAAAATAGGTTCTTCAATACTAACCAACAGAGAAAGATGACACCGATAACGGCAGATATTTTGAAGCCGAAACATGCCATTGGCCAGAGGAGTGTAGAAGTAGAAGATATCCCAAGAAAGATGGAAACGTATAGCTTCCACCTAACAACTGAAAGAATGGCAAATGTGGAGAATGTCTGAACAGAAAGATGATTATGCAGGCATACCTTTTCGCTGGAACCAGTTTTGTCTTAGTGGGTCTTTTAGTACATGATAATGCCATATTATCGCAAAGAATCTTATTCTTGTTTACAAAACCAGATGTATGAAAAATGATTTCAGGTCGCCTAATTAATTGCACTAGTCAGGTACATTGAGGTCACAGAGAAATACTGACATAATATAAATTTAAACATGCATTCCTATCGGACAGCTAGAAAAATAGTGAGCATGAAAGTAGATAGGAATTACCAACTTGACTAAACAAACAAAGAAGCAAACAAACACTCACTTGTCTAAATATACGAAAGTAGAACAAAAAACACAAAAAGTAATTTGTAGAAATTTTTATAAAATTAAAGGATAAAAGATTGTAAAGAGAGATAAAATAAATATTAGAAAAACAGAATTAGGCCCAAAAAAATAAAAGTCATAAAAAGCAATATTCTTTATTTGGCAATGCTTGTTAAATGCAAGACTGTAGGATACAAGGACATCGAAATTAATGACAGATATCAAGACAATTAATGAACAACAAGAATCGAGAATTTCAGTCGACGGAAGCAAAGCAAGATAGAATCTCTAGACTCACCAAGAAGTCTCCTAATGAGAATTAGATTCAAAGGATATAAATTCTCGCAATGTCGATGTTGTTTTGGGTTCTGAAGCCCTGTAAACTCTTATGTACAATACCAACGTTTCGGAGAAAAATACCTCAGGTTTGAGGACAGAAACAGGATGTCTCTCGGAATCCGTTGTGTTCCTACGAGTCCACGGCGTCACAACGCCTAAGAGCAACAATTAAATCTTCACAGCCACAAAGAAGCTTTCCGTACCGCATTTCCTAGATACAAAACCTCACAGTAAATGTGAGATTTCAGGTTCTCACGGTGGCAGCTCATAGCCCTCATGATAGAGGCAGCAAGCACCTCTGAAACTTCGACAAACCACAGCGCTACAACCCAAAAGAAAGTCAGCAAACTTTATATGCAGCAGGTGTTATACAACAAGCGCCATCTGACATTTGGTTTTCGAGATACAGGTCACCTTCAAATTAGGCAACATGCGTGCAGTACACAAGCAGACAGATTTGTTGCGACAGAAGGGTTAAGGAATGCACGTGCGACGAACACCGTGGCATGCTTCAAATTTTGGGTACCTGTTCCAGCTAAGCTGGAACTATAAAGCGACAACACACATTACATTATTCCAGATGACATCATCCACACTCCAAAATATTCAGACTATTAGAGCACCGTCTTCGGGATGCAGAAATGTTAGACCTCTTTTAAGTGTTCATGCAGGTCGTCGAGAAAGTGTACAGACGACAGTCACTAATGATGGAACAACTACTGCTGTAGAACGAGAATCTTCGAGAAGTTCATAAGCTGTCGCAATGGAATAGGAACTCCACAAGCGAAGGTCCTTAAAATACTTCTAAAGGATAGAACACTTCCACATTACTATTCACACACCTAGCATCAGGTTCCTTGCGGGGTGGTGATAGATTAATGTAGGGCATTGGTTGGATGTTGATGATTACGAGGATATAATCACTACGTCCACCACAAACCTCACTTGAAATCTTCCGAAAATAAACCAAGGTCTCTGGGATGAGAAGTATCATCTAGGCAATTTTAATATTTTCCAACATTCATGAAAGTCTTGATCGTGTGATTGACATAATTGCTTCGTAAATGGAAGTCCAGTGCCCATATCTGACTCCAAAGGCGTATATTCTTACTAAAATCCTTCGTTACATTTGTCAATTTCTCACATAATTACAGGTTCAGAGTCATTGTCTCTGCCGCTAATGCGTGATGCTGAAAAAGCGTCCTTAAATCAAGAAACTAATAGATGAAATTGTCCACGTTCTATACGAGAATGTGGAACGAGTCTAGTCGTAAGAATCACTGCAACGCGCCTTCAGCACAAGCCGCTGCTGCGACAGGAGACAAACGCGTGTGTAGGACATGTGGGCAGATGCCTCTATCTGTTTCATTCTGAGGTTGGATGTTCAAGATAAAATTATTTTACCCACTGGCATATTTCGACGGTTGCAGAAGTCCACCTTCATTTAGTGACGAAAGTCATGCTTTTAAACTTGAAACATAACGGCGCAAACTGAGCGAGCAGTAAAATGAGAAGGTTAGAGAAGTGAGAAGCTTCCTTTTTATTGATACAGGCTGGGTTGCTTACTCCAACGTAATAGATAGATCGGGAATGAAGGGAGTTGTACCACTTTTATGGCGTAGAAAACCTAAAAGCTGTGAAGTAGCTTGATACACATTGATTGGATTTCTGACTGGGGCGAGGATATTATTTCCACTCGTATTCTATCTGCTCGAAAATTCAATAATGCAGAATATTAAAGGAGCCGAGAAATATGTGTAGAATTTTAGTCAGGAAGCTTAAAACCCAGGCAGGGGGGAGGAATAATATTACAGTGGATCTTGCGCAACAACCGAGAGAGAGCGTGGGCTGGATTAAAGTGGCTAAGGACAGGGATTAACAGCGGGCGCTTGTACACATGTTGACGACCGTTGGCTTCCATAAAAGTCTGGAATTAGTCTTACCCAGATGTGCTTCTGGAAACAGAGATATTTAATTAGGAAGGGGACGAGGTAACAATGGAGTAGATCTTAACAATGCAAACAGACCTTCGTAATGCAACACTGGTAAGTTTGTTTTGACGTTGATATGGAAACGTTACTTCAGAATACGAACAAAACAGACGACAGTGAATTTTGTTTCAAGAATGTAAACATAAACCATTCTAACGCTACACAATTATGTTTGTTCTTTCATTTCTGCGGAACCTCTTTAAAACAGGAAAAAAGGTGAACATGGCTACTGTGCCAATTAATCAACATGCTTTTGATTTCTGTACGATAGAAGAAACTGGCGACTTCCAATCTCAGAATTTTGAAGAAAACGGCAATTTTGAAAAGGTAAGCAGCGCAATGGATCTGACTAAATCTATAGGCAACACTTTCTCTTGACATTCTTGTCTGGGCACGGTATCTGTAATACTAAATTTGTGTTTCTTTTTGTGATGTCACGCAAATATTGTAGTAGAACACGACTTTAACCAGTGATAGAAGTAGCTTACGTCACACAACTCCCGCGTTTGAGCGAACACGTCATGTCTCATCCCTACAACATTATAATAGCTTTTATAATAAAGAATTGAATTGAATTGAATTTATTGTAAGTTAAATATGCCTATCTCTTAGTTATTAGAAAAACTCCATGAGCTTTACTCAAAGGCTGCAACCAATGTAACAACGCAAGGATTGTTTTCTTGATATTGCGTTCAGTGGGAGATTGAATCTTGAAATATGATAAGAAAATAAACAAAGGCAACGAACCAAAATTACATTATAGAAGAAAATAAAAGCAGGTTTTGAAGACGACAGTGCTTTGGATCGTTGGGCCGTATAGTCTAGAAATGTTTGCCGACGTTTCGGAGGTGCTTACAAACTTCGTAGCTGAGTACTGATTGCCATAATGGTGGGGAGTAAGCACTGCTGACACGTCGATAAACTTCTACCCAACTATACAGCGTAAAAGAGAGATGGCCATATTTATACTTCCCGCTGTGAGAAGCAAAAATCCCACTAAAAGGATTAATTAAATAATTGAATTAAATATTCGGTTCAGAATTCCGTCTTCCCGTCTGCTATACAAAAACGTAACAATGACAGCTACAATTCTGTCTGTTGTTTCGCAAGTTCTTGACATTTATCCTGGCGACATCCAGGGAATACAACAGACTGTGGGTATTTCAGAGAGCATTCTGGGGATGTAATATGTTTTTCGTTTTGCTTCGAATGAGGATGATTAATGCATAATGAATTGGAATGATTATAAAATAGAGCGGTGGTGGGTTTATTTTAGTCCTATCCCAGCATTTAACTATGATTGCTATGAAAAACAACAAATGCCCTAACCACGGTAGCTGGTCTCCGAGCCGAGATTTGGACCCGTGGACCTAACAGGAAGTAACAGGAGGGTGATCGAGATTGAACAATGGGAGATTACATAATTCCCAGTTTTTACCTGATGTTGAAAGGGAGATTAAATCAAACGATGGCGAGATGGGTGAGGCATTCAGCACGAATTGGATAAATGGCATTTTCAAGGATAATCTTGTTCCGAATACCTGCAGAGAACAGACCTCTTGGAAGAAAGGCGTAGACAAGAGTATAATATTAAACTGAAATATTAATTAAATATTGAGTGTGTGACTTGTATGTAACTCGTTTACAATGGGGTCCAATGTAGAGCGCTTTTATCCTCCAGATTCCAAAAAACGCAGGGAAGTTGTTAACCAAATGAGCGACTATTAGTGTATCAGGAAAGACTTTGTAACATGAGTTAAACAGTGTTTTAATCTTTATTGTTGCTTTGTAATGGTTTTAAAAGTAAACAAATGTTTGAGAATGAATGTAATTGTTTTCCTGTTACTATGGATAATTCGTGCTAACAATTGTAGTTTTATGATTCAGTTAGATTGCGGATAATTATGCCAAGTTTAGTGTTTTTGTCTTCATCCTTTTAATGTTTTTCAGACCTCCGCTGATCAGACAGCCTGCAACACAGAGAGCGTGAATAGGTATGTGATCTACAGATTTTGCTACGGCAACTTTTATGCCAATATCTGAATTTAAGTACTTGCAGTGTATTAACCACATAGTTTGTTTCTCATACATGCTGAAGTCGCCCTGTGCAAGATTTGCGATGAAAGAGATCATTTTGCAAGTTTAGTGGTAAACTTGCATCTTGTGTATGCGTACACAAACATATTTTGTTTTTAGATATCGGTTATTAGGCATTATTTGCACGAGCGAGACCGAATTATGGGCTGGTCGTGTCTGTCCGTCCGTCTGTATATCGAGTCTATTCAACTCGACAACCAGTAGACGGGTTTGGATAAAATTGGAGTGGACGTTGTGTCATTGTACACAATCTCATAATCGTATTTTTTACAATCTACGAGTGGTGATAACTAAACTACAGCAAGGAAATTCGTGAGATGGACTAAGAGGTGCTGCAATCTAGTGGTAACAGAGGAAATATATTTGCTTACAATGGTTGCCATTGTGACCACTGCCATGCGCTTTTCGAAAGCTTACTGTGGTTACTATGATATTCGTGGTTCATACTGATGTAAGTGGGAATCAGAAGAAGCGTTTGTGTATGTTACGATTGTATTTTGTTGGAACAGGTTAGGTTAGAACAGCTTAGGACACGTTAGGTTAGGTTAAGTTAGGTCCCTTAGGGTAAGTAAAGATGTTTTCTAATGTTAGGTTAGGCTTGTTCAGTTTCTGTTAAGGAAGTTAGGATATGATAGATGTTTAAATATGAATTTCAAATGTTGACATTTGGAATGTGGGAATTATAAATTTTTTTATTATGAATTTTGAAATTTCAAAAAAAATTTCGAGTTCATTTTGTTAAAATTTAATAACTTATTTCATTTTGAAGGCGGATGTAATACCTGTTAATTTACATTGCAGATTAATCGTAGAGGACACATGTGTACTCGGTACAGAGAACACTTTCCTGGTATCTTACATAACAATTAAGATCCAGAAATATGTGCATATACAGTATACATATTAGATTATGTAACATTTTTACTAAAAGATAGTGAGGTCTTATTTTTGGGAAATCTAACAAATTATAGAAGCCTTTTGAAACCACAACCTTCCTTTCTTCACTGAGGTTTTTGTAGTTCTAGGAATGTTGACACAGAATATTTAAATAAACCACAATCATTTTCTGCTTGAATAAATCGATATGATATTGAAATCCGAACTCGTTGTGTAGGATCAATAATTGAAAGTCTATCTTTATTTCTAATAGCTAAATAAAACAAGTATCAGATCATACGACACTACAGTTACGGATTCAAATTCCTCCATTACCAATAACCACTTTATTCGTTAACATAGTATCCAATAGTGAGAATCTGTGCCATATAATACCTTTATCTAATGATGGAGAGCGATTTATAGACATAAAGTTAATGCTATAACTCTTGATTGATTGTAGGAAATTGGCTCAAAACGGAAGTACTTTTGACAAAGCTGGAAGTATGAAAGAAGAGAGAAACAATGGAACGAATAATGCACATTCAGCGGTTACATTAGAGGACACGAAATATTTTAAGTTAGTACCTAATACCAGAACACCTACCACTGATGATGAAAAAATACAAACGGAACAAGTAAAATCGTCTGCCACATTAACACTGGAAGAATTAGAAGACGCTGAATCAACTACTCAACCACGCACAGAAGTCAACACTAGTAGTGCAGAGATGTTGACCAAAGACGTACATCACAAAGACAAGCCAGGCGAAACTGATACTCAACATTTGGCCTCAGAAACCAGTGCGATCCGTAAACTTCCAGGGGAAGAAATTGGTTCAGATGGAAAAGCACCTGTGAATGAAGGACAGCTGACCGCAAAAGAGAGAAGACTGTTATACAAAAATCATTTCGGTTCACAAATTATGAAGCCTGAGGAGTTAAACGAGGCACGGAAATTTTTTGGATTAACAACATTTAAATCAAACGACTCTACAGATTTGGCTGACACTCAGTCAAATAGCAAACTAGATGCAGAAATCATATCCAATTATGAAGATATACATGCAGATAACACACATGAAATACAAGTGGTAAGCGACGTTGATACCCCTAATTCGCACTCTAACGTTTGTGCGATTATGGAACTATCAGGCCAGGAGACTAGCCCAAAAGAAAATATTCCAGCGGAACAGAAACCTTCGACTGCCAAACAGAAGTGTGAGCTGAACGAAGGGCGTCTCAAAACATACTCCATTTCTCGTGAGGAGATAAAAGAAGTACTGCAACCTGTTGGATTAGCAATAAATTTGGCAGACACTCAGTCAAACAGGAAATTATGTGCAGAAAACACGCCTGAAATGCAAATCGTAGGCGTAGTTGATGCTCAGAATTTGCACTCAAACGTTAGTTCGATCCCAGAACTTTCAGGCCAGGCGATTAGCCCAAAAAATAACGTACCTAAGGAACAGAGACGGTTGACTGTCAAACAGAAGAGCGAGTTCAACGAGGAGCGTTTAGGAACATACACCATTTCTCGTGAGGAGACAAAACAGGCAGTGAAAGATGTTGGATCAATAACTTACATAGTCAAGAAGCCTACAGATTTGGCACATCCTCAGTCAAAAAGGAAAGTATGCAGAGAGACAATTGCGATTAAAGCCCCAATTACTACTGAACTGCTAAAATATTTTAGGTCAAGGTCCTTTGTAAAGCATAATTCTGGTAATAAAACTCCGAATACAACTAATGCAGGCACTGATGTGCTACCCAAAAGAAAGCCTTTTTCAAGGCCGTACATAGGGAATAACAATCAAATTCCAAATTCAACAAACTCTAATGCGCAATCCACAACATTATTTGTTTCAAGGCAGAACATCGGGCGTAAGATTGAGATTCCAACTGGAGCAAACACTAACGAGCTATCCTCAAAAACGTCTTGCTTGAGTCAAAACTTTGGGAAGAAGACCCCGATTCCAACTCGAAAACACACTAATGTGCGAACCATAAGAAAATTACCTTTAAGAGAGAACGTTGGGTGTAAACACACGATTCTAACCGGAGCAGTCGCTGATGAGCCACCCAGAGGATCATCTGGCTTGAGGCAGAAATTTGGGAAAAATACCCCTATTCAAACAGGAAAATACACTAATGTGCGGCCCACAAAAGCATTTGTTCTAAGGCAGAGATTTAGCAGTAAGAACATGAACAGAAGTGGATCAGGCACTGATATGCAATCGAGAATAACATCCGGTTTAATGGAGAACATTCGGTGCAAAGGTACTGGAACAACCAGTGATGAGCGGTCCAAACGAATATCTGGCTTAAAACAGAACTTTGGGAGGAAGACACCAATTATTACTGGAGGATATACTAATGTGCAGCCCACAAGAAAATTAATTTTGGGGCAGAACTTCAGAAGTAAGATTCTCATTCGAAATGATTTAGGCACTGATGGTCAATCCAAAAGAACATCTGGTTTAAAGAAGAACGTTAGATGTAAAGGTAGGATTCTAATTGGAGCAGGCACTAATAAGCCACCCATAAAATCATCTTGCTTGAAGCAAAACTTTGTGAGGAAGACCCCGATTCTAACTGAAAGATACACTAATGTGCGACCCACAAGAACACACCTTTTGAGAACGAGCCTTCACAGTAAAAACATGATTCGAAATGGTTTAGGGTCTAATGTGCAGTCTAGTAGAACATCTGGTTTCAAGAAGAACGTTAGATGTAAAGGTAGGATTCTAATTGGAGCAGGCACTAATAAGCCACCCACAAAATCATCTTGCTTGAAGCAAAACTTTGTGAGGAAGATCCCGATTCCAACTGGAAGATACACTAATGTGCGACCCACAAGAACACACCTTTTGAGAAAGAGTCGTAGCAATAAGATTCTGATTCGAAATGAATTAGGCACTAATGTGCAATCCAAAAGAACATCTGGTTTAAGGCAGAAAATTGGATGTAAGGTGACGAAAATAACTTGAATAGGTGCTGATGAGCCATCCACACAAACATATGGCTTGAGACTGAACTTTGGGAGGAAGACCCCGATTCTAACACGAGGATGCAATAATCTGCCATTTGCAAGAGTGTCTGTTTTAAGGCACATCTTTCGCAGTGAGATCTTGATTATAGGCGGATCAGGCACTAATGTGCAACCCACAAGTCCATCTGGTTTAAGAGAGAATACTGGATTAAGATTCCTGAAAGAGACGTGTGGTATTACAAGCGTGACATGAAGGAAGGGAGGAAGGAAGTCTTCACACACAGTGCATTGTGAAAATACATTATTGTATCGACTAAATGAACTGAATATGTTAATGGACTGATTTTAACACATCACTGATGTTGACCTCACGAGGTTGAAACGCGTCTGGCACGATATACTTGTGTAAAAATGTTGTTTGTTCATGTGATTTTCTATAGTAACTGGAGCAGACACTGATGTGTGATACACAATAGCATTTGTTTTAAAGCAGAACTTTTGTAATAAGTTTCTGATCTTAACTGAAGTAGACACAAGATCTTCTGTTTGAAGGCAGAGCTTTGAAAATAAAATACCAGTTCTTACTCATAAGGGAAGAGATCCTTCAAGTATGGTGTATTTGACAAATACTTTAAGTTTTTTTAATAAAATTTAATCTACAGTGTAGAGCTAAATTTTATTTGAGAGTCATGTTGCAGATATAATTAAAGCACAGATTTTGGAACGAGTATGTGCCAATTTTACGCATGCTACTCTGAGAGATCGGACAACAAATTAAGCAAAAATTGTTTAGGAATAATTAGCATAATGTTTGGAGTATTATATCCGTAGAAGTAAACTGTTTTCTGGTTATTATTCATTGTCCAATAAAATCAGTAAAAAGTACGACATTTCAGAGATGGAAGTCTATCTCCGTCTTCAGGTAAAACCTACTCTGTTGGGTCCAATCGATAGAGATAGTCCCTATCTCCGGAGATAGTGATTTTCATTGATTGTATTTAATTTTGAACGATGGATAATGTCCAGAAAACAGTTTTGCTTCTATAACGCACCATCGTCACAAACTTTCAGAATTGCTTTTTGTCCATAGTATGGTGGCTTCCATGACATTAGACTTACTGCCGTAGTCTTTGCCTGAAGTTCTGCATAACTCGGTGCATTAAAACACTACTAATTGTTGTAATTACTTCATAATGCAGTCTTTCAGTTCTTGGATGGACTGGGGCTGAGTAGAATACATCGCAAACTTAAAATACCTTACAGAAAAGTAAGGGGTTGTCAAGTCCAGGAACGTTCTGGGCAAGGAATGCTGCCAAATCGTGAAATAAAGCGTTCTGAAAACAGTCCTGTAAGACAAGTTATCTTTTCCTGCCTTGCCGTGTGGGCCTTTGCAGTATCCTGTTGAAACCAAACGCAGCTTCATAAGAGATTTCTCAATAGCGAAGAAGTTACCGTTTGGTGCTGTGTTTCCATGTTTGGTGTGACCTTGCCTTATTTCTTAGGGGAAGATAACTAAGTTGTTACATAGCGTGGATTTTGATGGCTGTTGTACTGTGCTGGAGACATTTTTGGTTATTAAACTGCGAAGAATAAGGCAATGGGTGAAAAATAAATTTCAGCAGAATGAAGTACACCAAGTCTAAAATATGTGCTAATCGCCCTTAATCCAACCAAGAAGTGAAAGACCACATTACCGACTGAATTAATAGTGCTTTTATCCAACAAGTTATGCATAAATTTAGGCAGCGATTGTTGCAATATATGGAATGTCATCTACAACAAGTATTATGCTAGTTATTCCTAAAATAGTTTCTCTTCATTTGTTGCTCGGTCCCTCACAGTAGTCTTAAGGAAACCGTCTCAACCTCGCGCATCACACTGTACGACTGAAGGTACAAATAAAAATTTGCTATGTACTCATACACTTGTTTTGTTCTTGTCATTAATCACTCGCCGACATGTTTCAACCTATTACTTCTTATTCTGCTCCCTTCCTTTTGTCGCAACTACACTATTATACTGATTAATAGAACACGCACTAAAAGCAGGTAATTTGGAAATCGAAAAATATTTGCAGATGATAAAGTTTGCATACGCTGTGACCTTGTGCAAATTATATTGCTGTCTTAGTTAATATACTTAATGCAATTATAGTTTAATTGATGTATTAAAACATTATTGTTATATATGAATAAATTTTACACACAGCTGTAACAGGCAGTCTCGAATGGTTGTGTCGTTTGTGTTTCTTTTGGTTTGAGTAAGCTTTTGCCGTGGACCTTTTCAGCAGCAATTTTTATTATATTGTATCTCTTCCTGTCGATGTTTATAAGACTTTTTTTGTGAAGTGCAAACAGTAACACTGGCTATAGAAATCTCAATAAGTACTGGTAAGTGCCATTGTTGCATCGTCCGCTGTTCGAAAAAGCACGCCGTAAGTAACCGAGGCGACGAAGCATGATTTTTGTAACCGTGCATTAGATGAAGCTGAGTGATCATCTTTAAACTCGAACTCCTTTACGTACAGCTAAAGGGGCGTG